GGGCCCTCGGTCTTGGCTGCCTCAGGAAGAGATGTTCCTGCCTGATGGCCCGTGACACCTGCCAAGCGCCACCAGGGCTGCCAGTTTTGGTAAAAACCTCTCTGCCCTGGAGGCAGACCCCTGGCTGCTACTTTTGGAACTGCCCCTTCTCTCTCCTGGAAGACGGTCCATTCATCTAGAAATTCCAAGTCTGGTATAGGGGCTTAAAAATGCCCCTCGATGCCCCTCTTTTTCTGGTATTTTCCTAGAAATGAGGAATTCATCTGGTCTGCAGCCTCTACCAGTCTGCACCACTCCCTGTCTTTGTCCTGCCCTTGGCCCTGGATCTGCTCAGGGCGTTTAGTGTTCTGTGGGACTCTCCCCCACGCAGCCGGGGGCAGTCACCCTGAACCTCGCCTCTAAGAGGCTCCACATCACTGCGTACGATTCAACCCAGCTCCCCGTGCCCTCGAATGTCAGGGCTCTCATTCTCGGGTCTGTGATCAGTCCCCTCTGCCTGAGGGGTCTCAGCCAACGGGGTGATTCCCCCACTGGAGGGTAGGACTCTCAGTCTGACAAATCATGGGTTCCAGAAATTAACCCTATTGTTCTAAAACTCCAGAAGTTCTGGGTTCCTGCCTGCCCCCTTAGTGACATGTCTTCTGGAATAGGTGGCTGGGGGTGGGAGGGGGAGAGGAAAATGCCTGCCCAGAAAGCATGCATCAATCATGCAAAAACAGTGTCTACAGCTGCATTAACTTCTGTTTCTTGGGGAAGGGGATGGGCAGCAGACCGTCGCCTTCCAGGTGTGTGCCGAGCAGGGCAGACGGAGGTGGAAGGTGCTTCTGCAGCGGCCAGTGGAGCACAGGAAGCAGGCACACTCCATTGTTGTACTTCTTACTGACCCCGTGGCACGTTCTCTTGCTGCAACAGCACAGAATTCGCGTGGAAAAACTCCCTGGGCTCCTCCACCCAGGATGTTCCCTCTCACGGTGACTGTGGGGAGTGGCCCCCTCCTTCCTGCATCTTCCTTCTGCCTTTCTTCTCTTTCCTTTGGAAATACTGCCCCTTCCCCATTCTCTGTGCCTCCTGGAGAGCTGCCAGTGGCAGGACCCCACTTCCACCCCAGTCCCTGTGGGCTGCCTGCAGGACACACAACCCAGACTGGGCCAATCAGATCCTGTCTCCTTGGAATTTGACTTCTGAGTGATGGCACGAGGAGGAGAAGGTGGGTGGGGCCAAGTCACCTCACAGTAATTCCCTCCAAGAAAAAGTCCATGGATCCCTGCCACTGTGATCCCCGGACCCACTATCGCTATCCTCCCAGTGCCTGGTTGTTCAGCTCTTCATTCTGTGAGCTACCGAGTTCTCAAATAAATACTGACCAAAAAAAAAATGGCAAGCAATAGGATATATTGGAGTATATGAGGAAGCCATTTCATATAAACCTAATTCGGCCTGACTTTGTTTTTTCCAAAAGGGCCTGACTGTGCCCGTTGAGCATACATTGTATATACATTTCCTATGCCAAGAACAAAGGCCTTTGAGATAAAGGTGCAACTTCCCTCCCCCTCCCAACGTTGGCATTTCCTTAAAGATTAAGCATCTTTCGTTAGGCTAGGAACTGATTACAGTGCTCACCTGTGACCACTCAGCTGGAGACAACAGACCTGCCACCCTGCTGTGTTCACCGAGACAGCAGACCTACCTGCTATTTCCATCAATCGCTGTGCAGACAGAGCTGTCTCGCGACTATTGTAAAAGGGCCATTTCAATCCTATGTGAAACATCCTGTTTGGGGGTATATGACCACTCTGTGCACCCCACTTCCTTGGTGCCCTTTCTTCCTTCAGGAAGAAAGGCCCCGGGCCATGGTCCTCAGATTTCAGCTCAGAATAAACTCATCCAAATTTTCACTTATAGATTGGTTATGGATTATTTTCGTCAACAATACCCATCTCTTGCTAAAGGTGGTCAGAGTCAGTTTCTGTTGCTTGCATTTAAAAACGTAACTCATAGCCTCTGGTTTATCAGGCATCCTCTGGTTTCCCAGATCCCCTGATGGCCTGCAGGAGCAGGGTGGCTAAGAAGGGCTCTGGAATACTGCCTTCTGGGTACATTGGTCACAAGATGACACGAGAAGGCTGCAGATGGGGCCCACCATCAGACAGCTTCAAGGTGGTGGAGTCTATAAGGCCAGGACCTCTCCTGCCAGAGTCATCTCTGCATGAGAATCCATCTGACTTTCCCTGGTCTCTGCTCGCCCAGCCTTGAGGCCCCATCCTCCACTCTGAGCCTCAGTGACCCGGCCTGGGGACCCAGAGTGTGCCATAAGGAAGAGCTGCAATTATAAAGACACCAAAGCAGGCTGCAGGACCTGCCTCTGCTGAGAAGGGGCAGCTTGGAGCAGCAGATAAATTTTGCAACCTGTCTTCCCACTTTGGAATCTTCCTGCTTATATTAGAGTAGTGGTTTTCAACCCTACTCTCCATAAGCTGATTTCAGCTCTTGGTTCCACAGCCCTCAGGTCACTTCCATTGCATTCAGGTCCTGAGAGCCCTCTTGGATATTCCTCCCTGGGCCCTGCTTGTCCGACAGAAGAGCTTGGACACTGAGAGACAGAGACGAGCTGAAGGGTTAGCAGAAGCAATTAGTTCCCTAAGAGCAGAGAACAACGATTATAAATGGCAAACTGCCTGTTGGGGTGTTCCTGTTAAGCAGCCCCGGAGTCAGGCCTGTGCTCTGCGAGAGTGAACGCACAGAAAAGCCTATGGGATGCTGAGCTCTGGAAGAGGAGCGCAAAGGCTGATATCAGCTGAAGAGGAGATCATAGGGTTTTTAAAAAGTACTTATACTTTGTTTAAATTTATTTAACTCATGCCTACATTGTGTAATTAAAGATGAAAAATTACACGCTGAATAACGTATAATTTTGGACTGAGGTTCTAGAACAGAAGTCAGCAAACTTTTCCTGAAAAGGGCCAGGTAGTAACTTATTTTAGGCTTTCTGGGCCCCTCACAACTACTTAATTGTGCCGTTGTAATCCAAAAGTAGCTATAGAGAATATGGAAACAAATGAACCTGGATATGTTCCAGTGAAGCTCTGTTTATATAAGTAGGAAGTGGGCAAGATTTGGCTGGTGAGTCATAGTTGTCCAACCCCTGCTCTAGAAACTGAGATTCAATTAAGCACAAGTACAGGAATCGTTTATAACAGGATATCATAAATCAAAAGCCACAATTCACTCAAGGAAGCTTTTCAAGCTGCACAGATCAAACTTTGAAGTAAATAGTTTTGCAAATCCAAACCTAAAATTCTACAACTCCAATTTGTGGTGAAACAATCCAGGGCTCTATAAAGATGTTAGGAAACCTCGCTCTCCATGCTAATGTTGGTTTCTTGACCCTTTGGAACAAGAATATATGAAATCAGGTGCTCCAGCTGCCCCATCCCCTACTGCAGGGCACCCACGGGGCAGAGTAAACTCTGCTTGAAGCACATGGGCTGATTGCTGTGGATCAGGATGGTTCCCCAGAGGAAAATGAGGGCAGGCTGAATGGATTCTGAATGGCAAAACCAAAAGCTGCACCCACAGTTTAGTTTGACCTACAATTGAGAAGCTCTGTTGGCCTTCTTCATGCTTGCTGTCAGGCATGATTTTCCTCATGGCCATGCCTTGGCATATTGTCTCCTACAACAGCCAACTGCCAATTCATCTGACCTCAGTGGAGAAAAGGTCCAGGTCAAGCCTTCCTGCTTAGCCTACTCCACACACAAAGATGGTGCATCCAGTGGGGCCATCATGTATTATATACAGAGGGGCCCAACGCCTTTCTCCTCCAAAAGTGCCTGCAGCCTGAGAAACTGCCTCAAATTTGGGATTAGAAGTTTATGTGTGAAAATGTAATAGATGAGTTTTAATTCCTTCAGGTGTTTGAGGAAAGATCCTCGGTTCCCAGAGAGACCCCATATTCTTAAAACAAATTCCTCTCACTGCTTGAGGTAATTGCTAGAGCTAGATTTCTGTAACTCAAAATATGGAGTCATAAATAATTATTGTGAATGTGTAGTGTGTATTTTGCAAATCTTGGGCTTGTGTGATTGGATGGTGGTGTGTGGCAGGATGATTCCAGCTGGAGCAGGAGGGTGAGTCCAGTAGCTGGGGCAGCTGAGGCTGTTTGAGATTTGTTGGGTACAACAGTGGCTTTGGTGTGAGAGATGGTGGCAGGATCCAGGCCAGGCAATGAGTGGAGAGACCACAGTCTGTGGAAGTCACTTCTGAGGGGCAGGAGGTAGAGGATAAGGAGCGGTACTGGCTTGGCTCCTCATCTGAGCTGCTGAGGGGGTGGGGACTACACGGACAGCAGCAGTGACTGCAGGCCACAGGGTGAGCACAGAAAGGACTTGTGAAGAGAACCATGTGAAATAAAGAGTGTCAGGCCCAGAAGAGAGGACTTGAAGATGAAGAGTGAGGAAGGTTCTAGAATACAGTGAACAGGCAGCCAAATGAAGTGGGGAACAGGAGACCATCTTCGTGATTTACCTCAGTTGTGGAGCTAAGCCTGTGCCATCTTTCCTCACACTCTAGGGGAGTTAATTGTCCACCTAAACAGTCGGCGGGGTGGAGGAGGGGTGGGGGGAGGAAGGGCAAAGTCAAGAAAGGCAAGACCTTCAGTGTGGGGAGGGCAGCGTCTTGGAGAATGCCCCTTCTTCTGTGTTACCCCAAAAGTGGCAGAGAAAAGAGAAGTCCAACAAGAACCCACCTTTGCCCCTGCTCACAGGACTGTGGGGCGGGGTTGTGGTGGGCAGGACAGGCAGCCCCTGCTCTGATGCCCACCAGCCAGGCCCTCCTGCAGCAGTGAAGCCTGTGCTGCTCACTGTGGAGATCCTCGTGGATGGTGACACCTGCTATCCATCCACCTTGTACCTTGTGCAGCCCAGGGAACCGCACATTTCGTGTGTTCAGGGGAACCCAACAGACGGAGGAGTCCATGCCCTCCTGGGGCTGAGCAGTCTCACCTTCACTTCCAAGTGACTGTTGAGCCCCTGGGTGCCATTTGTAGAGGACCCACGTTTCCTCTCAGGGGCAGGCTGAGGAAGCCCCTTGGTGTCTACCCTCTCTGGGCCATCTTCCCTGGAGCCTTGTCCTTCTGTTCTCCAGACCCAGAGGGTTTGCAGGTCTCCATCCAGCATCTCCTCGAGCCCCCCGCGCTGTGGAACAAGACTGTCTGGGTTTGAACCTCAGCTCCTGCATTTGCTAAGAGCCTTGGGCAAAGAGCTCACCCCATCAACACCTGAGTTTCTTGATCTGTAAAATAAGGATGTGGATACTAGTTTGCAGCGAACATTAAATAAGATAATACAAAAAAGGTGCAGCAAGTCAACATAGTTAAGCATTTAGTAAAGCTAGCTACTTGGTGACCTTTGACTGTCTTCCGACCTTGGCTTTCTGTCACAGCCCAAATCAAGTCTGTCTTCTCCCTGGTCAAGCATCTCATTGTTGCTTTTCCCAGTGCTCCCTCTTGGACCAACTTCCAATGATGTCTATGTGCGTCCTGCGTGTTTTTTGAACTTTGAGACCCAGCGCCACCCATTCGAGAACATGACACCGGCAAGAGTAGCTGGCACTTGGTTTTCTTGGGACTTTGTGGAATAGTGTTTGTCTCGTGTTTTCGAGGAGGGCCTGTCAAGTGTCCTCTGCCGAATGAGGGTAAGAGGATGCCTTCCTGGACCCGTCTCTCTAAAAGCTGAGTTGTTAGATGTTTCTGGGTGTTAGGGAAACAAGCACCTAAGAATTAGAAGCATTTTTTCCTCAGTCTCTCAGTGAGGCTTTGCTGCACCCTTGAGCCCTAGTGGCTGCTCCCAGGTCAACAGTAATACCCTTTCCCTCATGACTTCATTAATGCATCTCAGGGGCCATGTTGGTTGGGCTGCTTTTGCAGTACTTTCATCACAGCTCAGCCAGTCACCAGAAATCAGCTTTCGAAACTGAAAAGCCTCTTCAGCCAGAGCCTCCCCCTCACCCCCCTCCTTTCCTGCTCCCGGGAACTCGGCTTCCCGAAAGTGAGCTCCTGCCACACCCTGACAGGCTGTGCCCTGATTTGTTCCTTAGCGTCATGGGGTATCAACTTCTCTGCAATTACCCAAACTTACCAAATTATGACTGGAGAGGGCTGGGGTGGGGCGGTGGCGCGGGCGGGAGTCTGTTGCAGATCCGCATCTGGAGCCAGGAGGCCCCTCCCTCCCCAGAGCCAGGCCCAGGATCCCTGCCTACCTCTCACTTTTATTATTTTGGCGGGCATTGAGAAGTTAATCTTTCTCTACTGGAGCGGCTTCCCTTTTTTTTCACCCTGGGAGGACGCCAACAGGAGTCCTCCAGTTGCCGTGAAGTCTGCCATGACCAGCTGTGAGCACCCTGACTTCCTGGTGAGTGCTGGTAGAAGAGAGAGGGAAAGAGAAGAGGGGGGCAGGCAGAAAGGGAGAGAGAGGCCCCGAGGGGCCAGCAGGGAGTCCTAAAGCCCCCATTCCTTATTAGTGCTAAGGACCGAGCCTCACAGTCCAGACAAGATTTTAGGTGATTAAACAGGGGTGGTGGCCGCCCTCCCACCTGGTCCCCAGAGGCAGAGATTCCTCCAGGGCTGACCCTGTGGATGAACCACAAGGACTGAGGAAGAGCTGGAGGAGCCCCTTTGCTCTACCTTTGACCTTAGGTTTGTCTCTGTTGAATCCAAATATTTGTTTTCCAGGGTTCTCAGTGTTACAATTTCTTTGCTCAGAAGCCCTTTCTGAACAAAGCAAAGGGAAGGAGAGAGGGAAGCAGAGAGAGAGAACTAATGTTTGCTGACAACCCACATGCCCCAGGCACTTCATGTACTTGGCTTCCTTCCCTCCAAGCCAATGCCACAGGCACCTCTGTTCCCATTTGCCCGATGAGGAACCCGAGGCCCAGAGGAGTAGAGTCACAGTGACCCATTCAGAGGCTCGTGAGCTAGTCCTGGCCCCACCACCTCTCCCACCTGTTTTGGCCACCTGAGACTAACAGGGGATCTGAGCAGAGACCCTCTGTTCTTGCCACTCACACCACAGGCAGAAAGAGCCCCTTTGCACTAGGCCAGGGCTGTTGCCCAAATGAGTCCCAGCCAAGGCATCTGCGGGACAGCTGCCCCTTGCACCTGGGCTGGGTCCCCAGAGCTCTCCCCTGGAGCCAGGCTGCCAGACCCTGCCCACTGCTGGTCAGCCATCTGGTAAAGAGGCCCTGGCCATCTCTTCTGGAAAGTTGTGGGAGGCCCCTGAGAACATTGCCCTTTCTTCTCCTCAGAATCCTTTCTGCCACCACCTCATGGAAGCAAAACAAAAACTAAAAGAAAAAAAGTCTTGGGAAATAAGTTGAAGACTCTGTTTTCTGAAGGCTGGGATCTTTGCCACACTTGGGGCTTACCTGCGGCCAGTGGGGAGGGGAGGTCTGGGCCCGGATCCATCTCCTCTTCCGTGGAGTCTTCTCTTCATTTTCCTCAAAACCTCAGTTTCAGCACTAATCTAGATTAAGAAGTCACGTTTCTGAGATGTTTTTGGTTTTCACATGCATGTTACTCTGCTAGAACCTTCTGGGGATAAATATGGGGAAGACAGCTTATGGCCTAGCTAGGGGAAAACAGTGTACACAAAAATTACTTCTGGTACAAGGGAGAAAATGGCAAATTACATAACATAGGCAACATGTGCTGGAGTACTAGGGAGAAAGATCGCACGGGGGTGCGGAGTCAGGGGAGGTGATGGGGAGGAGGCACTGAGCTCTTGGAAGCTGGGAGTGGGTAGGGGAAGCAGGGCACTGAGTGGGGAGCACAGGGGGAGCAAAGGCTCTGAGGCGGGATCATCGAGGCCACATGTGGAGAAACCTGGACGATCTGATTGGCTAGAGCCTGGTGAACGGGAATGTTAGGAAACGAACCTAGAGGGTCCGGTGGGGGCACAAAGGCTGTGTGGGGTACGGATGGAGTCAGAGGGCAGGGATCCGTCTTCCCCCAGGAACTCCCCCTTCCCACTGCTGCTCTCCCTGCACCAGGGTCTCCTCCTGCTCTGCTCATCTGTCCTGGGAGTTGGAGGGCTGTAGGCACAGGGGACGCACCTGCAGGCGACTGCCTTGATGCTAAAACAGGATGGTTCCTTTCTCCTGTTTACAGTGGGACCTTGGACAAGCCATGGACCCTCACTGAGCCTCACTCTCCCCACCTCTAAATTGGAGCAGATGAGAGGATGCATCGGAAGCTCTTTGTAAACTGTAAAGCTCCATAAAATGCCAAAGCGCATCAGAACTCCTCTTTTGATCAAGTCTTTCAGTGAGGTTACAGCCATGTATTGAGCTGATGGACTCACCTCCAAGCAGAAGCAGAGCTGTGGCCTCTCTTCTCATCCCAGTGCTCACTGGCAGGGGCGCTGTGTTAAGAATCCATTCTTCCTCCAAGAAGGGGCTCGCAAGCTTCTGTCTGCAGCTGCGTGAGTCACAGGCACAGACTTCTCCCTGCAGGGGATTCTCTGGGAGAAAAGTGCCTTCCAGATTCAGATATGCCCCAGGATGCGACAGTGTCCGCCTCTGTCTGAGAAGGGCTGCTCTACAAGAGCTTTGGGATGTCACTTGTTTCTATGTATGTCTTTAATATGCTAGTGATTCGTCTCTGACCCACATGAATCTTAGCGCTTTGTATACCTGCTTGTTTTGTTTTTTGCTCCACTTCTTTGCAAAAGTGACACGAGCTTGTTTACAGCCAGAGGCATCTTTTGATCAGGCTCTGTTTTTTCTGCTGTGGTGGCTGACGGGCTTCCCAGAAGTCACACACTCTTACCAGAAGAGAAGACCCAGCTGTTCTCAAGGAAGACAGGATTTCCCAGCTCTAAATTCCAAAGGATTTTTTTTTCATGTGGGGCTTCCTGCAAGGTCACTCTCTCAGATAGCAGTGTTTTGTTTTTTAAAACTAGCTTATGCATCTTTTTCTTTCTTCTTCTTTTTTTTTTTTGCTGGGAAAGATACACCCTGAGCTAACATCTTGAAAATCTTCCTTTTTTGTCTCCTTAAAGCTCTAGTACATAGTTGTATATTCTAGTTGTAAGTTCTTCTATTACTTCTATGTGAGCTGTCGTCACAGCATGGCAACTGACTGACGAGTGATGGGGTTCTGCACCCAGGAACCGAATCTCAGCCACTGAAGCAGAGTGCACCGAACTTTAACTGCTAGCCCATCAGTGCTGGCTCGTAGATAACTGTTTTAAAGCAGATGCAGGAGTGGTTTCCATAATCTTCAGATGGTCCAATTTGATATCCAGACAGAACTTAGATTATTAAGAGGTCCTCAGGCTGGGAACACTCTTGAAGTCATTGGCTCCTATGTGGGAAAAAGACAGGAAGGTGCAAAACCAACAGCTCTCCCCGTCAGTGATTCCCACCCCATGACCTTCCTGAGAATTCTGACAGGTCCTAAGAGAGGGTGCGAGGTGATCTTGTTGGCAGAACACACACAACTGTACCAGCCACAGCCCTGTGAGCTCATGCATGGGCGCACACAGCAGGATGTCGATACACTGCACACACTGGAGTCTTCAAGTGTCCTTACAACCATCGCAGATTGAGATGGGGAGACGGGGGCTGGGAGAGGTGAAGTGATGTGCCTTTGGCCTCCAAGCAGGGCGCTGACAGACCATGTCAGCCCAGCTTCAAACTGCATGGTCCATTGTTCTGTGTAGCCTACCCAGAATCAGTCAATCAATCAATCAGTTGATCGATCAATCTCTCTTTCCTTCTCCCTCTCCTCTTTTCCTCCACCTGTTTTTCCTCTGTTGCCCTCACTGATTCCTCCATACATTCACTAAAACCTCGTGACAAGAGCTCAGGGGCCCAGAGTTCGTTCCCTCCTGCACCCTGCAGTCTGTCTTGGGCCCAGCCTTAACCTCCTTTGGCAAAAACAACTTTCCTGTGCAACCCAAGTACCAAGCAGCATCAATACAGCCTTCTTCTCAGAAGTCTAGATAGGATAAGCATGGTGTTTCAGAAGAGTTCTACCAGTTAGTTAGGGATGTATTTTAAAACAAATCAGTGAGAAAAATTCTCTATAGTTACTAATTTATGCATTTATTCATCTAATTCATCAGTCAGCAGATAGTTGTATGAGCGCTAACTATGTGCTGGGATGGCCATAATGACTTTATACGACTTGACGGTCTTTTGGACAAGGAAACATGGTGCACTCAGGCCTGTTTTGGGCCAGGGTAAATGTGCTCATGGTTTTGTAGGAGCCTCTGAGGAGGAAAGGGCTACTTTAGTCTGAGGCTGGGGTTGGGTGAGGTCAGGGAAGGCTTCCTGGAGCAGGTGAGGGATGCATACGTCCAGCCATCGCTAAACAGATGAGCAGAAGCAAAACTCTTACATTAATCTTTTAGGACCTAAATATTGGAAGATTAATAAGCAAACACTGTTCAGAACCTCATCAAGAAAATGACTCTGCAGAGCTGGGCTGCGGCTGGATCAGTCAGCCCACCGTCAGCAGCCTGACCATAGCCCTGGGCTCCCCTGGCTGCTCTGAGGCTCAGCGCACTATGACACGCCTTCTCCATGGCCAGTGATGCGGGCCCCACAGGTGGCTCTGGGAAGGAATTAGGATCAGTATTTGCTAATGCTCTAACCCCATGGAGGAGGGGGCCTGAGTTCCTCAGTCTCCACACAGGAGACGAGATGGTCTACCTGTCCCACCTCCCCATGACAGGCAGCACTGTCCCTAGTTAGGACTTCCATAGTAGGAACTAGTAAATACTCAAAATAGCAGTTTTTAACTGGGAGCTATTTTACTTCTCCACTTTGGGAATATTTGCAATGTCCAGAGACATTTTTGGTTGTCACAACTGTAGGGGAGGAGGTGCCACAGGCATCTAGTGGGGTGAGGCCACAGGTGCTGCTTAACATCCCACAGTCCACAGTCCAGCCCCACCCCCCGATGCATACACACAACACACAAAGAATTACCTCGTCCAAAGTGTCAACAGTGCTAGTGCGAGAAACCCTCTCTCAGAAGATAGTGTTCCCTAGGGACCAGGGCTGTCCTGGAGGTGGTAGGGACAACCACTCAGTTCTTGACCTGGTGCGTTTCTTGCCTCTCTCCACTTCTAAGTAAGTGGAGAAAGCCACTCCTCCCCCATCACCTTCTTCCACTTCTCCAGAACAGAACCGCTGACCTGTCACGTACCGCAGCCACAGTGCCCAGGGCCCATCATTCTCTTAGGGGCCCATAAAAATGCTTTTACTTTTAAAATCAGAAGAAAATAAACGAACTTTAGATGAAAGAAAATGTTTTAATATATAACAATATATTGGTCTTTATATCAACATAGTCACAAAATACAGTATTAAATTTTTGTGGGAGAAGGATCCCATAGAGTAGCAGTGCTCAGCACCCATGAGAGTCATTGTGCAGCCCTGGTTCAGAAGTTTCCTCTGAGTCTTGGCTGAGGTAAAGGGAGCTGAGGCATGGAGGTGGGTGTTACTGTTCTTTTCTGGAAGTTTCTCTGTGAGAAGCCCACACCACCCTCAGGGCAGCCCTGGTTCTGCTACTGTTCAGACCCTGCCCTCTGTCATCTGACCACGGCCCGGGACCCCACTGGGGCATATCACCTAGGGCTGCCTGATTTTCATGCTGGTGAGCTTGCCACCTTCTGTCCACACCAGAGACATTGTTCTCATGCTCCTGTCACCCACAGCCAGATGCTCAAATGTCAGGCCTAAGCACAAATTTAAAGTTTTTGAAACATGAGACTGGAAGCTCATTGTAATTTATTTAATCTTAATTAATCTTAATCTTAGTTAATATTAGCTCATCTTAATTAATATTACCTTAATAACAGCTAATATTTGTTGGGCAATTACACTATGCCAGGCAGTGGACTTTGTGCTTCCTGCTCTAATTTTTTCCAGCTTTATTCAGATTTAATTGACAAATAATATTGTGTAAGTTTAAGGTGTAAACCATGTGCATTTGATACAGGTATATATTGCAACATGATTCCCACCATAGCATTAGCTAACAGCAGCCTCACATCTCTGAATGACCATTTCTTTTTTGTAGTGAAAACATTTAAGATCCACTCTCTTAGAAACTTTTAAGTATATAGTACAATCTTATTAACTATAATCACCAAGCTGTGATGTCAAACCTGAAGTGAGTTCACTCACCCATTGCACAGCAAGCCAATCTTTGACACCGGGTGTAGTGGAAGAAAGTAGGAATTTTATTATTGCATTGCGCTGAGCAAGGACAAAGGGCAGCTAATGCTGAAATCTCAAACTCCCTGAAATCTATAAGTAAGGGTTTTTATTTGGGGTTTTAGGTAGGGGAGGGGGAGCATATGGCTTTGTTCATCGGAGCTGGTCCACCAACCTGGAGCTCCTTGGCAGGGAGGAGGAGGAGATAACGAATCCAGGTGGTTGTCCTTGGCTGTGTCTGTCTCCATGGAGGATAGTTGATTCTGGAGTCAGGAAGCCATGGAGTAAGCAGGGAATTAGCGTTTGGGTTTTAACCCCATATATGCTGGGTTTACTGTAGGGAAACTGATATCAGGTTTGGTATCAGCTGTACATTAGATCCCTAGCTCTTATTTGTCTTATAATATTTGTTTGCATTCTTTGACCAACATCTCCCCATTTCTTCACACTCCTATTTAATTTTGTCAACTATTTATGAAGTAGATGTTATTGACATTTCTGTTTTATAGATCAGACAACGAGGCTTAGAAATATTAGTAATTTGCCCAAGTTTGGTGAGCTATGCAGCCAATAAGTTGGAGGGAAAAGTTTATAATTTGAAGTTAATTTTGGTTAAACTGGTAGGAATGTAAATTGGCTATTGTCCCTAGAGCATTCTGTATGCACTGCACTCCTCTACATTTGTGTGTGACATCCATTCATTCAGTCTACACTGAGCACAATGACTGCTCTAGAAGCTGGGACAACAAAGAAGAGTAAGGCACAATCAATGCATTCTAGGAACTCACAGCCCAGCAGAAGAGATGGATGAGGAAACGGTCCATATAGTAACCATCCTGTGATGAGGGCTTTGGCAGTTGTGAGCCCAGAGCCTGAGGGCAGCTACACCACTCTGGGGCCAGGATCCCCATTTACCTGACTGTGTGGAAGGGAAACCTACCCATTTTCTGACCTTGGAGTTGGCCCCCATCCCCTCCTGCAGAAAGCTGCTTCTCTGCCAGGGCTTTAGACAAGGCATCCACTCATCTTGCATGGTCCAAGATTCACACAGAGGCGCTGTGCAGATGTATAATAAAGAAAATCACTGCTCTTTTGAGTCTGGACCTAGAAATCCCAAGCCAGCCAACAGTTATCCTTGTCTCATTGCCTCTTTCTTCTGGAAGGCTGTCCATCTGTGTGGTTGAACTCAGGAAGTCCATTTGATTCCTTTGGAAATGCCCACATGTGTCCTTCTGTTGTTCCCAGCAGAAGGATGATAACATGCTCAGCTCCCAAGATGATGGCCGAAGCAAGAAGAAGGATGGTCAGTCTGAGAGTCCCAGCAGCAGCCACCTGGCCTATGGCATCTTGGATGTCCCACCATGGTATCTCTGCATCCTCTTGGGGATCCAGGTAATGCCAGCCAGCAAACACTGGGTCCAAAGAGGCTCTGCCTCAAAAGCCATATCAACGTACACCCAGGTCAAATTAGGCAAGATCCGCTACTTCAGTTGCTAATATTGTCTTCCATGTAACTGAGCTCTAGGGGAGCTCAGAGCTCCTCTGGTCTCTCTTTCTGTCCAGGAGTTTGGGGGGCGGGGGGAGGAATTAGATAGGATTCTCTCTCACGCTGGGCTGATAAGTCACCAACTGGGTCAAGGACACCAACTGGGCCATTGTGTTTCTTTTTTCAAGATACCAATTTTAATTTATTTGATTGGCAACAACTAAAAAATTTGATAACCAATGCTTGGGGAATTTGGGGAAACAAGGTCTCTCAAACACTTTTGTTGGAGTGTTATTTGGTGCAATCTTTCTGGATTACAGTTTGGTGATTTCCATCAACACGTAAAACACATATACCCTTTCACCCAGTCCCCAGTGCTTAAGTTTTTCTCTGTGGATGTGCTGACAAGGCTTCTTCAAATAAATAAAGGTAGTTCTTGTAACATTATTGGTAAGAGTAAAATCAAAACCACACAACAAACAAACAAAACCCTAGAAACAACCAAAATATCCATCATAGGGAACTGGTTAAATAAATTGTAGCACATCCTAACAACTGACTTTTTTATGCAGCTGTTAAAAAGAGAAGGATATATTTACCTTACAGTTAGGGAATGTCCCCCAAGTTATATTAAATGAAAAAAACAGAATAGATAACTGTGTATAGTGTGATCTTTTTTGTGTTAAAAACAAACAAAAAAGAGATAGAATGGTAGACATAAGTATATGTAAGAACTTTATATGTTTTGAATGGTTCACAAGAAACTAATAAAGCTATTTAGCCTTGGGAAGAGGAACTAGGAAAGGCAGGGTAGCTTTCAACTTTCCTTTTTTTATTCTGTAAATTTTGTAGCATGAACTTTCTAATTTCGTAGATGTATTTCTTTTACTATTACAAACTGTTCAATATGGGATCTCAGGGATGTGATACATATTTTTGTTTGCTTCTTTGTGCTTTTCTATTAAATAAGAGCAGATGTCATACTACTTTTAAAATATTATTGTGAGCCAATGTAATGGGTAATGTAGTTATTTTATCATGAAAGGATGTCGAATTTTGTCAAATACTTTTTCTACATCTATTGAGATGATCGTATGATTTTTATCTTTCATTTTATTAAAGTGCTGCATCATATTTATTGATTTGCATATGTTGAACCATTCTTGCACCCCACGGACAAATCCCACTTGGTTGTGGTGTATGATGCTTTTAACATACCATTGAATTCAATTTCCTAGTAGTTTGCTGAGAATTTTTGCACCTGTAATCATCAGGGTATTGGCCTGTAGTGTTCTTTTCTTGTAGTGTCTTTATCTGGCTTTGGTATTAAGGTTATGCTGGCCTCATAAAATTAGTTTGGGAGTGTCCCCTCCTCTTCAATTTTTTGGAAGATTTTGAGGATTGTTGTTAATTATTCTTTAAAAGTTTTGTGAAATTCACCAGTGAAATCATCTGGTCCTGGGCTTTTCTTTGTTGGGAGGGTTTGGATTACTGCTTTAATCTCCTCAATTGTCATTGGTCTGCTCACATTTTCTTTCTGTTTCTTTATGATTCAGTCTTGGTAAGTTGTATGTTTCTAGGAAGTAATCCATTTCTTCTAGGTTATCCAATTTGTTGGCGTATAATTGTTCATACTAGTGTCTTAGTGTTCTTTGTATTTCTGTTGTATCAGTTGTAATGGCTCCTCTTTCATTTTTTATTTTATTTGTGTGAGTCTTCTCTTTTTTTTCCCTTAGTCTAGCTAAGCATTGGTTTATTTTTTCAAAAAGCATATTGATCTTTTCTATTGTTTTTCTGGTCTTTGTTTCATTTATTTTTGCTCTGATCTTTATTTCCTTTCTACTGCTAACTTTGGACTTAGTTTGTTCTTCTTTTCTAGTTCCCTGAGGAGTAAAGTTAGGTTGTTTATTTGAGATCTTTCTTCTTTCTTAGTATAAGCATTTGTTGATGTAAACATCTCTTTTAGAACTGCTTTTGCTGTGTCCCATAAGTTTCAATGTATTATGTTTCCATTTTCATTTGTCTCAAGATATTCTTTATTTCCTCTTTGACCCATTGGTTGTTCAGGAGTCTGTTGCTTAATTTCCACAAATTTGTGAATTTTCCAGTTTCCCCCCTGTTATTGATTCCTAGTTTCATACTGCTTTAGATGGAAAAGATACTTTGTATGAATTCAGTCTTCTTAAGTTGGATAAGACTGTTTTGGGACTTAATACATGATCTATCCTGGAGAACATGCTTAGGCCTTCCTGGTCAATGGTCTTGCCCTCACCTTCTGCCTTGTTTTAATAATGAGCCACTTGCCTTGTTCTTATCTTTGTGGCCTTCTCCTTGGTTCCTGTTATATCCACCTAGGCTGTGTTTCTGCTTTAGTTTCTTACCCAGGATATCAGTTCTCAGCACTAGGGTCCTGCCCAGGATCTGCTCTTGAACCCCAGACCCTATGCCTGGGTCCCTTTTTCTTGCTGCCAGGCCTTCCTACTTCCCACTCTTTGCCTGGATCTCTACCTGTCACTCATGGCCAGCCTCCTCTGAGACCGGAGATGGAGCTTTTGGCTCTGGCAATGGGAATGGAAATGAGGGTGGTTCACGAAGCCACAGCATTTACACGCCCATCTACTCTCTCTGCTCTGCCCACAGCACTTCCTTACGGCCCTGGGGGGGCTCGTGGCAGTGCCACTCATCCTGGCCAAGGACTTGTGTCTGCAGCATGACTCCCTGACCCAGAGCTACCTCATCAGCACCATGTTCTTTGTCTCTGGCATCTGTACTCTCTTGCAAGTGCTGTTAGGAGTCAGGTAAGTAAAATCTTCCCCATGGATTCAAACTTTTACCTGCCATAGTATCAGCAAGTCTTGCTTGGCTTGTAGCAGGAAAGGCAGTTAGGAAGCTGGTGTGACATGGTAGAGGGAGCACAGAGCCAGGAGTCAGAGCCTGGGTTCAAGTCCTAGCTTCAACACTTACTGTCCATATTAGCTAGGATTCTTGAGTAAAGTAACACAAGTTGAGATTAATTTAGGCAAGAATTTGTTCTTTATTAACTGATAAGATCAAGCCAAGAGAAAGGCAGGGCGCATTATGCATCAGGAACATGGTGAACCAGGGACTCAGTGCCACCGGGACTTTCTCTCCATCTCTTATCTCTACTCAGGTCCTCCCCCAATATTTGTGAGACCCAGGGCAAGAGTACAAATGGAGACCCAAATACTCCATGTCTAAATATCACAGAGTTATAGACCAAACTTACAAACTCCTAAAGAAAATATATTCTGATCATCCTACCTGGAAGGGCAGGTTTGAATTAGAATTCTCTGATTCTTTCAAGTTCTGCTTTAGAACCTGGCAGCATAGGGAGGGCTGGCCCCTAGCCTGTGGCCTTCCCCCTTCTCTTCCCACCTCAGGCTTTGCTCCAGATCATAAATGGTCTCACATGCATGAATGTGGACACCCCAACCTGTACACCCAAGTTCCATCCACCCAGTCGCCCACCAGATTCCCCAAACAGTTGCCCCCTGGCCATCCTTCAGGCCTAGGGCTTTGAATACCAGCATCATGGTCAGCCTTCAGCAGCACAGACCTGAGGAAGAGACCCAAGCAGGCTCTGGAAGAGGCTCAAAGCCATTTGGACGGAGAATTCTTGGGAATAAAAGGGAAGGGCACACAGACTTGAGGTGGGTAGAGCCCCTTTGCCCTGCAGACACCTCCCCAGAGGTGGCCAGCGTGGAGCCCTCTAGAGCATCAGGCTAAGTGCAGGGGGCTCTCCTCTCCTAGTGTGAAGACAAGACTGTCTCTTCATTACTCTGCCAGTGCCTGTGCTTCATTCTCGCAGACACACTTCCTGCATGTGTGCATAGACAGGGCTGCTGGCAGGCCTCACAGCAACCCCTCAACAGCAGGTGAGTACCGCTCTGGCTGGCCTCACATTTTAAAATTCCAGGGGAGAGCTCTGATTGGTTCAGTTTAAGCCAAATACCCTGCCCTGGACCCACCAGGGCAACAAAAATATGGAAATTCCCATTCAGGAAGACGAGTTCTGTTCTGAGTAGAGAAGACAGCAGACATTCACAGAACCAGATATGTGCTCTGGGATCTGCCGGATGAGGCTCATGATTATATGTGCCCTGCTCCCTTACAGTATCATCGAGATAATCAATTGTTAAAATCAGTGGAAACAGGTTTTTTTTTCCTTCAACCATCTAGCCCCTTGTGTTCATATGTAGGCTCACAAATTTGCCTGAGTAAAATGGAGTCCTATTGCTCTGAACAAAACTGTGAATGAAGCCTAGAACTCATGTCTTTGGAACATTCCCTCTTCATTTCCATACATCCTGTCTTCACATTCTCAACGTCCACCCCCGGCCCCACCTGGATTGCACACCACACAGTGGCTCCCTTGGGTCACCATCTCCTCAGGAAAGTCCTCTCTATTGGTCCTCCAGAACTTTCTTGCTTACCTCCCACACCCCACATTTGTCAGTCCTGTATCTTATTCCTCTCACATTTATTTAGCATCTAATCCAAGGACAGACCCAGGTTTTGTGCAACCTGAAGCTTATACAGTTTTTGCTGTCCTCTTTAAGAAGAAATCCACAAAATTGTGAATACAAATCATGTACAACAGAGAATACTATTAAATTGAAAAAAATCAAAAGAAATTACAAATTTTTAAAAGCAGATAAACATCGCAAATGCACCAATTTCAAAACATAGCTTGGTATTTTTCATTCTTTAACTGTCTCACAATCCCCTGTAATACAGTTTTCCTCACATTTTATGGTTGCATACCCTTCAATCCCCTCTTCATTTCACAGAGAGAAGGAAAGATAATTCAGTCATTCCTCTAGCAGGAGTCACTCCAAATTTGTTCGTTATGACTGCTAGTTGGGACGCATTATCATGCCTTCACTTGCAAACTATAGTACTGCTGTAGCTTTGTGCCCAAAACTCAGGAATTCTGACCAATTCTATGGCACATGATTCCTATCAATTTTTTATAAATGCATGGTGCGTTTATCATTGTATATGCTGTGTTATTAAGCATATTCCTGGCAGGAGAAAACTTGCATTTTGCCTGCACGTCACTGAGAACCAGACCTTCTCTGGTAGTTTGATGTAGCTGCTGGTTGGCCAGTTTGCCACAGACTAGCTTCTGAATGCACACATTAAAACCTTGTTTCTCATCTACCACCCACATGTGTCAAGTGGCAGGTGCTGTAAGGCACATTCATATCATAATGTGGCCTCTGGTCCTGCCCCTTCATGACACAGAATGAGCTGGCACGGTGGGCAGTAAAGTGTTGGTAGAAAGCATGAATACCCTAAGGTGGCTAGCAACACATTAACTACACATGGGTAGTTTAGTGGTCTTGAACCATAAAATATATCCCACTACATTCAAACTAAATTTATCCTGACTCAGCCCCCCCTTAGCCAGATCTTAAAAGTGCCCATGGCCTTTCAAATGGCATCTGACGCAAGGGTTAGAGTTAGGGAGGTGGTGGTGGAAGGAGACGGTAGTTACAGACAATTGTGGCTGAAACCTTTTACTTTTGCAAATTTTATGAAGGTGTATGGCTAGTGAACACATTGCAGGGCCCCTCCCTGGACTTTAGAAGGAGCCATGCAAGTGAGGGGCCCGTCACTCTGAATCTGCTTTGATCTAATCTGTGCCAGGCCTGTGCTCAGCCCTGGAGTTGCAGAGGAACATGGAAAATCTTCCCTACAGTGTGCTTCTGCCTGGCCTGTCTTAAGAGAAAATAACTGGACAGGAAAAATTAATACCCATTTATCTGAATCAATTATCTGAATCAAGCCCCACAGGTGTAGGCTGATACGGGGTTGGCCCATTGTTTCCAGGACAGGCTGACTGCAGGCAGCATCCAGAGGAGAATATTCCTTCCTACTGTGGTCTTTTGCTAAATCAAGTCAAGGGCACTTTCCACAGTGCTTCCTTTGCAAGTCATGTCCAGGAGCTATGCCAGTGCTGAAGTTCTCCCATTCTCCGCTAAGGAGTGCCTACATCTTTGGCAGGTTATTTCCTTTCTCCCTCTATCTTCTCCATCACCATCTCTGTGAGCCAAGATTTCCTCCAAATTCCTCATAAAGAACAGAAAGAGGTACAGGATTTGATCTAGTCTGTCTCTCAGGCCCCTAAGATCCAAGACCCCTCCATCCTTCCCAGTCTTGGCCCCTGGAATGTCAGATGCTGCTGTAGCAATAGACAGGCCTTGCAGCAACCTGCCTGGATTCCCAGGAGTCCCCCAGCCCTGCCCCAGGCCCATGGAGATTTACAAATACAAAGCTCTTCTGAGATGGTGTTAATTATAATTATACTGGAGGCCAGAATTCCAGTCCTGGCTTCTGTGATGTGGGAACTTGGACAAGTCATCGACCCTGTCTAAGGCTCAATTTTCTCATCTGTAAGATGAAGGAGTTGAACTATAATATCTAAAAGTCCCTTACATCTCTAATATTGTGGACACCTATAATGGTGACAGAGACGAAGAGGAAGTGCCATATTTCAAGTGGATAGTCAGTAGTAAAAGTGCCTGTGGGCTTAACTTTCTGCTAACTTCTGAGAAAAACAATAGTTAATCAGGAGTTTACATTCAAAGAATTTGCACCCTAATTAAACATGCAAAGAAAGAGGGAAATAAATCATGCTAATGTCATTAGACTGAGGTGGGGTCAGGAACACATTTGATTTTGGTTCTGCCCATGAAAATGAGCTTCCCTCTCAGATGCTCATAAGTAACTGCCTAAGATGTTATAGATGGTAAAACCTAACTGACAGCTTATGAATCAGGCCAAGTCGATTTGATTGCAGATTATCCGCTAACCAGTATTTTACAGTGTACTTTTCTAGATTAGAAACAAAGTGCTGATGTTGCAATAAGATTTCAGAAGGTCTTAGTACTTAAAATTGTGTTAAATAATCAAAAAGGAATGGTAAAGGCCTTCACTGCTGCTTCTGATATGAGTGCTCACGAGTGCCGTGCCCAGTGTGGGGCAGGCAACAGCAATCCTTAGCAGCATGGACGGCTGCTCCCTGCTATGACTTTAGGGCCTTCCTCGCTCAGGTGCTCACCTCTGAAGTTCCTGGAAGGGCATACTTCACCATTCATTTCAAAATAAGAGGTTAAGTTTGAAAGGCAATCACCAGAGGAAATCTAATATTCACTACATGTAATTCTGGATCTTAGCTCCATCTCTGGAATTATTTGTGACTTTACCAGCTAATTTCTTTCTCTGGAGTGGTTCCAGGTGATATGACTCCTTTTCGATTTTCCTGGGACTATCTCAAGTGTGGAGCAAGCACTCCTGCCACAAAGTGTTTCCTTGCATTCAGTTTCACCTGAGTCAGCCCTGCCCTTGGTCCTTTTCATCCACCTACTTCCCCATAGGCCGAGCCCCGCCCTGCCCTAGCTCTGCACCTGTCCCTGGTTATGCAAAAAGGCCACGCCCATCACAGGAGGTCTGCAGCCACCTTGCTCCTGCCCTGTTGACAGCTAGGTCACCAGATGTCACCTTGGAGCTCTGACTGAAGCAGCAACAGTGGTGGCCGTTGGGGTGGAAGAGTGACCTGGCCCTCAGACACATCAGAGGAGGGAGAGGCGTTGATGTGTCCCAAAGAGGGGGCTGGTGCTTCTGCTTCCTGTGGGTTTGAGTTGGGCGGTTATCCACAGGGAAGGTGCACGATAGGCTTTCCTGCAATTTAGCAGGTCCTTATCTGCTTGGTATAGGGAGCCCAGTAAAACGTGAACAAAGTGCTTTTTGTCCAAGAGTGAAGTAGTTGGGG